TTATTCACCAATTATTTGGTGAAAATTTTCAACACCCGATTAATTAATCAATGAAAAATTTTCAATACCCAATTAACCGGATAATTGGTGAATAATAATAATTGGTGAATATCATTCGGCGGATACAACCACTATGGTGGACTAGATACATTTAGAAGTCTCATGAAAATTTTTGATGAGTATAGGTGATACACACCATATTTGGATGAGATCGTCACAAAATTTAGCCAATGAAATCAAATGTCCACTAAGCTCATATGTATTAATATTAATATTAATATTAATATTAATAATATAGAGTTAATTCGAATAATAATTTGTATTACGAATAGAAATTCAACTCAACAATAATAAAGATTTTTAATTCTCCACAAAGATCTGAGCAAACATTGTGACGTTTTGACGAATTTTTAAAAACATGTAAAATTCGTTGAAACGTGATTAGTAATTTTGGCATAACGAATTTTAAACCATAGATAGATACGTTGAAATGAGGTTATTCAGAACCTGTTATTGTAATTTTTTAGTCTGTCTAAAATATGTTATACAATTTATTATTGTTTTACTTCTATAAATATTCAACCGTGATTTTATATTAAATTTCGAGCTGGCTCGTTCGGAGCTTTAATTGACATAATCAACAAAAAGAACTTGGTGTTGCAAAAGGAGTTATGTGAAAGAGCATCCCAGAAAAAAAAAGAAACCATCATCATCATCACTCATCAACGTCGCTATCACAACCTTAATCGTCAATCATCATCACAACCTCAATCATCTCCCTCTTCATAGTTACTATCATCGCGATCAACTATCTTACAACTCGATAAATTTTGCATGTAATAACCATCGTATCTCTTTCTCTCCCAATCTTCATATTCTCATCCACTTGAACGCCCAAAATCACATTCATTTATCCTGCTAATTATGCTCGTATAAAAGGATATGCTTGTAGATGTAGTGTCAAAATGAGGGAGCAGCGCAGAAGATATTACACTATTGGAATAACTAATGTATATGGTGTCTCCAACAGACTAGGTTTGCAAAATCATCAATGATAAGATAATTAGGTGTAAATTTCAACACACTCTTAATAAAAAGATTTAATAGGTTTAACAAACCAATTGGTCATTATATTTCATTATATATGTTTTTCCACTTGTTAAAAGCTTCATTTTTAATTTATTATATTATTCATTGTAATTGTGGCAGAAAGTTTGATTTGAAATAATTCGTTGACTAATTCTGTTATGAGATCTTGAATCTATCTAATTACTATGCCATATTCTGTATCACAAAAGAAATTTGACAATTTTTAAACATTAGTTTTTTATAAAATGACCAAGACAAAGTCAAAAAACATCAGCAAAAAAAAAAATATTCGTAATATTACAGAAAATAATAATAGTAATATTAATAATAAAACCTCCAGTATGAAGACTTATAATAAAAATAGTAGTAAGAGCCCTAGCAAACATTATAATAGAGGTAGAGATTCTATTAATATTAACGATAGATATCGTTATAATCATGACAATAGTTATATTCATTATAATGATAATATTAAGAAAGTATCTTCACCAAATCAACATTCAGGAAAACTAACTCAATACACACCCAGTGGAGATAACACTTTACAATCGCCAAAACCAATTGTTACAAGTCATAAATCCCCACAAAGTGCACGGTATGTATTTAATTATATATTCATTCAAATACATTCTGATTGTTATCGATAATTTCCTATTTTTACTCATTTGTTAAATTAATTATCACTGTTCAATTTTATATAGAATACCTAACTCGGATTTCATTCCTATTAACGAAATAACACCAAAAGAAATACAAGAATTAGAAAAATGCAATTCTATGATAAGTTCCGGAAAGAAAAGGAGATTTAATAATTTTGAAGCAACAGATGGTTGGAGGGAACCAAGTTCAAATGAGCTTCCGTGGATGAAAGGTGAAGATGATAGGAAATATAGAAATGTAGTACATAGGTAATTTATATACGTAATTTATTAAAGATATTTAATTGAGCTAATTGATTATATATGATCTTTTTATTAGGATGCATTTTGAATTGAACGATTTAATAGATTACCTTTCTCCAACTGATGTTGAAAAATCACTAAGAGTATTTGTTATTAAAAGGATTGAAGATGCGGTCAAAACTAAAATCCCTTGTTCCGAAATGTTCATATTTGGAAGCTTTAATTCTGGAATTTATCTTCCCACAAGGTATAAAGGTTACTTTTTATTCTGTAATGGTTGAAAACAAACAAACAACTAATCGATAATATATTAATTTTAATAGTGATATTGATATTGTTGTTTTTGGTCATGTAAAAATGGTATCATCTCTTCATCAACTGGCGGACTATTTAATGAGCAAAAGATATTCTTATGGCAAACCTTTAGTAATACACAAAGCAGTGGTATTTGTCTATCTATACCAATGATGAAATCAGTTATTCGTTATAAATTTATTTATTAATTTTCTGATTTTTGTTATTTATAAATAATAATCAGGTCCCTATTATCAAATTCAAAGAAAAATACACTAACATTAACATTGACATATCATTTAATCAGAAAACTGTTTTTACATCTGTTAGTACCATAAGTAGATATCTTGATGAATGGCCTATTCTTGGTAAATTGTTATTAGTTTTAAAATGTTTTTTAAAACACCACAATCTTGATGACCCATCAAATGGCGGAATGGGTGGCTACACTTTGTTCTGCATGATACTAAGTTTCCTACAGGTATTCTATTAGTTTTTATAATAATAGTAATAATTAATTTTAGTATAAATTATATATACTTGTGATTTGTGATTATATATATAATCAAGTATTTGTTTATTTATATATTTAAAATATATCAAGTTGCACCCACGTATTAATGATGGCACTTTACAACTAGACAATGATAACCTTGGTGTTCTTCTGATAGAATTTTTTGAATTATATGGGACTCAGTTCAATTATACAGATCTGGCAATTACAGTAAGACATGGTGGAAGTTATCGTTTAAAGGTATTTATTTAATTTAATAATTTGACACGCACACACAAAAAAAAATTAAAGATAGCACCATAGATATATTTATATTTAAAATATGATTAAAAATTTATTTAATAACACGTATATTATAGTGCCAACAAAACTGGGCAGTTAAATATCCAACAACAAATTTATGCATACAAGACCCATCGGATCCTGGTATTTTATTTATTTATACCAATAAAATTATAAAATATGTATATAATTATAGTCATCTAATCCATATCATTATATGTGCATTCATTTATTATAAATTTAGATAACGATATAGCACGCGCAACAAGAAACATGGTAGAGATTCAAAAAGCATTTAAACAAGCATTCCTACGACTAGTTAATAGAGTTGGACAGCTTGAAAAATATCCAACAGGCTTCCATAATAGGTCAATTCTTTCATCCATTTTATTTGTTCCTGAAAATATGCAATCGTCAAGAAGAAATTTATTACGAGATTATAATGAAAATGGGTTGAGCAAATTGGTGCAAGGAACAAGTAGTGATTTAGAAACGCTACTAAAACCTTGTGATTATGAATTTATAGCCAAAAAATTTGGCAGAGAAATTGAAGAGTCAGATTATCATCGTAACATTAGAGTCAATTCTTTATTGAGAAAACACAAACCAGCCAGAAGCTTTAGATCTCAAAATAATAAAGATAGGAATTTGAATAAAGATGACTATTATTTTGAGGCACTTGACTCTGATTATTGAATAGATAATTACACTATTTTAACTTATTATTATTATTTTCTATATACCCTTTTTAAAAGAAAGGTATATGTTTATACTATTTATGTTCTTAGTAAATTTTTTCATTTTATATGTTGTAATAATCTAACCAAGAATAAATTTTATCTCGTTCTTTTTAAAATTATTTTTAGAACTCCGATTAATAATGAAAATCTTTGATATAATAATTGTAGTAGGATAGATTTGACAAGTATACATACATATATATGTCTTTAATTTTTTTTGTAAATATTCAAAAATAAACACATTAATTAATATTTTTTTTTATATTAAATATTATTGATTCGATATTGCTGGGTTATTTTTTTTAAATACATGCATGTGTGGGGTTGATTTTAATCATATGATAATATCATTTAGACGCGTATAAAAGATTAATGTAAGTTCGTAATTAATAAATGGCTTCTTGTAACAAAAAGACCTATTTTGTAGGGACTTGCATGTGTGTGTGAAAAAGATAACAGGGAAAATCATTAAATCAGTTTAACCGCGTAAATTAGCTAGTTAAATGAAAATTTCATATTATTCAAATGTTCCTTGGATTTTTGTGGGGTGAAAAATATTCCTTTGAGCTAGTAAAAAACAGAAAAACAATCTTTTTTATTTTTATTGTATATAAAATAATAAATGCAATTTTCACGTGACATCAAACTTATTTAGAAAGATTTAAATCCAAAAATTTTCACGATGGTTTCAGCTTCGACATAATTTAAAAACTTTATAGCTTTGTCAATGATATTTAGAATTTGTTTTGGATTAGTTGGTCTTGTTGAATATTTATTGTTTGGTTGATATAACTTGGAAAGCACCCATTCCTTTCTGGTAAATATCCTGGTATTTTATTTATTTATACCAATAAAATTATAAAATATGTATATAATTATAGTCATCTAATCCATATCATTATATGTGCATTCATTTATTATAAATTTAGATAACGATATAGCACGCGCAACAAGAAACATGGTAGAGATTCAAAAAGCATTTAAACAAGCATTCCTACGACTAGTTAATAGAGTTGGACAGCTTGAAAAATATCCAACAGGCTTCCATAATAGGTCAATTCTTTCATCCATTTTATTTGTTCCTGAAAATATGCAATCGTCAAGAAGAAATTTATTACGAGATTATAATGAAAATGGGTTGAGCAAATTGGTGCAAGGAACAAGTAGTGATTTAGAAACGCTACTAAAACCTTGTGATTATGAATTTATAGCCAAAAAATTTGGCAGAGAAATTGAAGAGTCAGATTATCATCGTAACATTAGAGTCAATTCTTTATTGAGAAAACACAAACCAGCCAGAAGCTTTAGATCTCAAAATAATAAAGATAGGAATTTGAATAAAGATGACTATTATTTTGAGGCACTTGACTCTGATTATTGAATAGATAATTACACTATTTTAACTTATTATTATTATTTTCTATATACCCTTTTTAAAAGAAAGGTATATGTTTATACTATTTATGTTCTTAGTAAATTTTTTCATTTTATATGTTGTAATAATCTAACCAAGAATAAATTTTATCTCGTTCTTTTTAAAATTATTTTTAGAACTCCGATTAATAATGAAAATCTTTGATATAATAATTGTAGTAGGATAGATTTGACAAGTATACATACATATATATGTCTTTAATTTTTTTTGTAAATATTCAAAAATAAACACATTAATTAATATTTTTTTTTATATTAAATATTACTATTAGAAATAAATTTACTATCCTTGCATATATAATAAATACAATCTTCACTAGATAAAATCTCCACTATAAAATTAACATGATTCCTTGATAATAGTCTTTATTTGCAATATTTTTATTTTAAGGAAACAATCCTTTAAATTAGATTTACACTACTAATTTATTTTTCAATAAAATAGAAATTGAAAAATGAATTATTCTTTTGAAATAAAATATAGATTAATTTTTTTTAAAGTTGATCTAGTTGGATTTGCCTAATTTGAATTGATAAAATTCAATTAATTAACTTATTAAATATGTTGACCGGATAGCAAATTAATCAATATACCTGAAATCTATATTTCATAATGTATAATAATTTTCTTTGTATTAATTCCTTTGTGACACCTTCAACAATAAGTATATATAAAATATTAATCATTTTAGAAAAAAAACTTTACTGAATAAAAATATAAATTTTAACATACATTTATGATAAATTCCATTGATTATTACATCTCCTAAAAAAATTTAAGATTTTTATTCAATAATTTTTTGTTTTCAACAATTAATTTTCTATTATTAATAATAATTTATACCTTGATCATCAAAATACTCGATCAACACACTTAAACAAATTCCAACACTTCTATCAATTCCTTGTTCACAGTATATCAGTATTTTTTTAGAATGTTCTTTGTCCAAACTATTATTTTTTATAATTGGATCTTTAAGAAATTTGAGAGCATTAGGTATTTGTTGGTATAGTTGGTGTTGACCTTTTTTACCTTCTGGTATAAATAATTGCAAATAATTGAATGATGTAGTGTGAAAATTGAAATTAATTGGTTCTGGAGTACAATTTATTATATAATGAAAAATTTTTCCACAAGTGTTTTGATTGGCTTTTTTGATAAGAATACAAGGGAATAAAAGTATTTAGATGATTTTAGTTCTAATAATGTATAATCATATTATAAATAGTTATGATGATAAATTACCACTTTTACGATTTCCAATAGCTATATTTGTATTACCAATGAAATTAAATTCATCCTTTCTTAATAAAGAAGATGAAGAAGCAGCCAATAATAATGGCGATGACGATAATGGTGATTTTTTATTAATTTTTGATTGATGAACTAATTGCTTAATAAATAGTTCACAATCTTGTGAACTTTGTTTATTCAATATTTCAGTTTTATATTGCCAAAATAAAGATGGTGTTAACCCCTACTTATACGATTTTTAAAGTTAGTAAGTGATAATCTATAATGATAATATATTAATCGTATATTTACCATTGACCACATTTCATGATCATCGGCCGAGCCTTGAATGTATGCAAACCCATCATTGCCACTGTCACCATTACTTCTAAAATCCAACCCATTATTAACAATTTTCGATGCACTTAAACATATCACAGGATAAAATGGCATGTTACGATAATCAGGCAACTCGTGTAAGTAGAGATTTGATGAAGGCGTAAACCAGATCGGTCTTAATGGTTTTTTCAATGATTCTGATAACGAAGAAATATCATGACCTGAATTCTATTGAATAATTAGTAAACTTTTTTATATATTTAGATAGGGAAAATTAGTTACTTACTAGAAAATTTTGAGAAAATTTTGGTATTATATTTGATATTTGATCATGTTCTGATTTTGATATTATTGATGGTAAAGAATGAAAATTCATATCCCATTCATTCATATTTATCATCAAATCATAATTAATGTTATTTCTATTAATGATTCCTTCCATTTCTATATTATCATCATCATTATTAGTGACATAACTGTCATTATAGTTGTCGTCATCTAAATCCATACTTTCCATTTCCGTATGCACATTTATTACATCATTATCGTTAGATTTTTGTTTCAATTTCAAAGATTTTAAGCGATTTTGAATAAATTCAACAGAATTATCAACGTCCTTATCTTTATTAATATTTGAAGAGATTGTTGTTGATGATAATAAATTTTCACGAAATTTGTTTATGGAATAATTTATAGTGGAGCACCATATTGGTATAGTCTTTGATAAAGAATCAGGCATTCTTTTGCCATTACGTGTAGAATCTACTATTATACATCTAATAGCAAGCAATCAATTTTTTATATGAATGATTGATTATATATTTTTTCTAACAATAAAAAATAACTAATGACTTACCCACCATAATTTATAATTACATCTAATAAATGAGCATTTAATCTACGTAAATTAAAATTCCATTTACCATTATGACCATCGGTTGATTTAAAATAAACTGATTGGTGGAATAACTGGCATAGACAAAATTTATAAATCAGATGTTTTCTTTTGATCTTTGTAAGTTTATTGTAATTAATGTTTTTATTATGTTAACTTACGCGTTTTGGATTAACATACCAAGTACCACATCTTTCATTTGCTATTTTAACGTATAAATTAAAAGTACAAATCAATTAATTAGATTGCTAATTAATAACACTATTAACAAGCTAGACGGTGAATTGTATCGAATACGAACCTATAACAGGTAAATAGGGTATCAAATCACTAATTTCATCTACGAACTCTGAATCTTCTGAAATTGATCTTAACCTGTTGCGTCTTTAAATTCAATTATATATGTGTGTCAGTTATTTTTATTTTTATTTTGTTAAACTTCCGACTTTTCTTTCTTTGAGGAGTAATTACATGTTTTTAGACTCTTTACGAATATCCCCTGCCTCATATTTAAATAAATCATTACAGGTTATTATGTTTTTTTTCATGATTCTATGCATGACAATAAAATAGCCAACCCTTTTTGGTTTGAATTAGTTTAATTTTTAATATAAATAAATTGATAAATTTATTACGTAAATTACAAAAATAAATAATGGGTTTTTATTTCTTAAAACCAATAATAAAATTTTTAATATCATCAAAAAAACCGGGTTTATTTTGAATAGGAATTTCTTTTGTGGACTTCAAACCAAGTTGATGTAATAAATCATTTCTCATTAATCCTTGTGGATCAAACCTTTCGATTTGTTTAATGAATTTATCAACATTTTCTTTTTTATATGAACTTGCCAGATAATTTAAATCAAGATCTGGTGGCAAATATTGGCCCCAGTGACATCTACCGCTAAATTTTAATGCAGTTGCCATTAATGAATCAAAAATTTGAGAATGAAATTGAGAAGGCCTCTATAATTGATATATAATATATATTGAGATTTAAAGTGAATTATTTGGTCAGAGAAAAAAACACATTAACAACGAATGGATTAATGAACCTACATAATATAAAATAGCCATTTCAACATAACAAGTTGGAATTCCTTCGTCATTATTTGCCATAGATAAAAATTGTGGCAGAGAAGAAGAAAATCTAAGTGACAAAGGTCCATTAATATATAATTGATCTTTATCATACATTTCTTTTAATGTTTCTAAAAGTGCATCAACGGCATTTAAATGGTTATCATCTTTCATGGGAAAAGCCAATTCAATCGAGATTGCTTTAAAATCATTTATAAAACCTAATAGTGATAGATAATAATAATGTCAACGATGGTTATAGTAGAAAATTAAAAAAAATAATAAATAATTAGTAAACACACCAACTAAATAAATATTATTATATTCATCGACCACAGGATCAGGATGAAATTGAGTTTTCAGAGCAGTTTCAGAAACAAATGGTACAAATCTTGGAAAGGTTAATAGGAAGAAGTATAAAATAGAACCAGCTGATTTAGCAGTTCTGCCGGTAATTTTTGATATTAAAGGTGATTCTATAAATTCTTGGAACCATTTTTTTATTTCAGGCTTTGGATAGGTTTGTTTATCTTCTTCGGTTGCAATATTTCTTTTGACAATAAGTGTATATGGTGTATATGGGCTAATCCATACTTCACAATTTCTGTATTTTAGGTATGGATTTGTTTCATAAGGTTGTTGTTTAAGTATGGATTTTGCCTCATTCCAAGTAGTTTCTTCACGTTCGTCAATAATACTATAAAGTTTTACTGTAGATACAGTGACATAGAATACTACACCAAATGCACCCAAGTTTACAACGCTGCAATTGAAAGTATCATCATCCTGAATTAATGTGACAGATGGATATTTGGCTTTAAATGAGATAGGATCGGTAATTCCATCCGCTGGTTCAATACGATATAATTGACCTCCTATATAATAAAACAATTATAATAATTTATTTTTATTAATATAAGATAATGTTAATTATTAAAACCGGATAGAATTAATTAGTATTTACCAGGTACAATTAAATCAACCGTCTTTATTGAAGTTGCCAGTGGTGGAATTTGGATCCCACTTCCATGAGTTGAAGTAGCATTAAGACTTTAAATAATTATTTGTAAAAAGCAAATTAATGATTTATAAGAAAATATATTGCTTAATTATAACTATTTATATTTATTTTACCCAACAATAGTTTGGCCTATAGAATTGATTGAATTTTATTATTATAATGATAAAATTTGTTTTTAAAGAAAAAAAAATCATTCAGGAATAAATTATTACCATCATAACCACCCAAATTAGGCAAAGCTCTATCATCTTTTTTTAAAACCTTAATTATTTCATGTATAGTTGTTCCACATTTCATATCGTAATAAACAATATCATCTTTAATTGCTTGTTGATTAACATTAGATTTCAATAGTTTAGTGTTTGTTTTGACAATTCCAGAAAACTTTTCTGTCAACAACAGAAAACCATTAGTGTCATGAACTCGACTAAAATAAAATAATTCTATTAATTTTCAGGGAGCAAAATAGCATTGTAATAAATTAAATTTATTTATATATATATATATTCAAGTTACCTGAAAGAATTAAATCCACCGACAGCTTTTACAGTTTTTTTTTCTCTATAAGAAGCCGCCATAATGTCACAAAGTTTTTTGAAACTGGTAATTTCTTCAACGTCTGCCTCAAACATGACATTTCCGAGATTATTTTCTATCAACTCTATTAAATTGAGAATAGTCAGTATTAGTATAGAGTATTATTTGCGGAAAAAACGCGTGAAAAGATTACCTTTTTGAGGACCTTCATGAGATTTTTCATGCTCAACAAATCTACTATGAAATTTTAAGGATAGAGATTCTATTGTGCAATATAAAGAGGGATATAATTCCTTCGAGCCATAAAAGAAATAATCAAATTAAATTAAATTAAAATGTACCTAATTTTTCTGCAAACCCTTCATTTTTTTCAAAAATTTCTTCAAGCTCAGATAAATTTCCCCCGTTATAAAGTTCACGGGCTTCCTTCCTAATATCTTCCAAACTTTCCAGATTCATTTCTATAGTAACATTATAATTTAGTTGGTTTCAATTAGTTATTAATTAATAAAATGGAATTACTTACTAAATGTGAAGTTGGAAAGAAAAAATTAATTTCTACTTTTGGAAATCAATAGAATTTCTGCAATTTCTACATCAAGAATTTGTGCAACACGTAATAAGTCTAACTATTAATAGCAGTTTTGCATGCGAAATTGTATTTACGAAAGCAGTGTTGAATTTCGTATGGTACACGTCACCTATAAACATCAAAAATGGTCACCTGACTTTAAAAGTTTATAGCGCAAAATTTTTATATCAAAAAAACATTTGAACCATATATTTTTGTAAGTTAATACCTAAAAAACAAAAGTAAATGGTTCAAAATTTTTTTTGATATAAAAATTTTGTAAAATTTCAGACTAAAATTCTTTACATAAAAAGTAAGTGATTGCTGATAAATTTCCCAAGACCATCTAAAAGAAAATTACACACAAGAAACCTAGTGAATAGTAAAGAAAGAAATTCTAATGGAACTTTGCAAGAAATCATGGAGATACATGGATCTATATAGGAATGTAATTATTGGAAAGTTGGCAGAGTATGCTGTCAAAAAATATAGATCCATAGAAGAATTCCAAAGCATATTTTCACAAATTAAATAATATAAAATTGATTTAATTTTTTATTTGATTTGATTATTATTCTTTTCTTACTATTATTGTTAACTAATTTTAAATTATTATAAAAAGTTATATAACTTATCAAAAAAAAAGATCCATTAGAGTATCTGTTTTTCTAAATGGTCAATGATTTTGACATACAAAAAATAATTACTTAAATTGGAAAGATCTACGTTTTGATTTCGGACTATTGACATATATAGAGGACGTGCAACAGGAGAGACCGTCCTATATAAGGAATGGATTTCACAATTGATTTCAATTTTTTTTGTACATTTTAAAATACTTTTACAAGGGTATTACATAGCCCATTCTTACAATAAATCATGTGCAAATAATTACACAAATTTGAAGCTTTACACTTTGTTGTTATCATATCTTTTGAATCCCTTTGAATCCCACAACTTTCATAATATGATTTACTCGAAGAAAAATTGCCTGAAATTAAACATTGCACAGAATGTAAAACCACTGAATCAGCTAAATTTCATCAACGAAAGGCAATAAATGGAAAGAAGCTGAGAACAACAACTTAGTGAAAGTAACATGTTGTTTTATGTAACATGTTATATGAATTTTGTAGAAAATCTTTTAAAAAGAGAACCTAGGGGAGTAAAAACCACAGATGCGGAAGGGGAAGAGGAAGAGGTAAGTGAAAAGATTGATTTCACTAGAGCCATCAAGGTCCTATATACGATTTTTATGAAATACGAAGATTGCTCCAAGAAATAGAACCAAGCTTGAAGGTGTTTTTTGACCAACTCTATTTAGCAGCTCAGCCATTTGAACGTAATAGACCATATGAAGAGATTAATGGTGGTGTTCATGTGTTATCTTTTTCTTGTTTTAAATAATACAAAAATTAACTCTTTTAAGTTCGACCTTGCATTCTATCTAGACTCGGTAGATACAAGCCTTGGAGTAACTACAACATCAAGAGTAGTAGACCGTAAAAATAAGCAAGTTGCAGATGAACATGAGAAATATGTAAAGAATGCACTTACAAAATATTCAAAAAAATACATTCTTGTTGAATGTTGACGATTATCATAGATTCACGTCCAGAAACAATCAGTATCCTTTAATTACTAAAACTTTGTTACTTCTAGGAACAATCTACAAACATTTTTGCAATTACGTATAATGTGATTACACTAACTATACTAATTTGAATAATTGTAGTGTATATACTCACGTGTGGGCATGGTTATCACAATCATTGTCTACAAAGATGTCAATATAAATGTTTGATATCTTGGATTATCTTCAAGTTGGAATCAAAAAAAATGTCAACACACTAAAAGAAAGTATGATGAAAAATATTAAATGAAAATGAATTTATCGAAAATAACAAAAATACAGTTGATGATGATCTGTGCAATGTTAAATCAGCAATAGATGACATCAACAATGGAAATTTTATTAGAACATGCAAAGAAAAATTTTGGGTTGTAAATTTTGTTTTATTAAATAAATTTGATTGATTTTTCATACATTGTTCATTTTTTGTCACAATCATGCATCTTAAATTTGTTGTGTTTACAATCATTTCATTGACATCCATTATATTAAAGTTATTTTGATTATATCAAGAGATATGGTCAAGAGAAGAGTTAGGAAGAGAGTTATTCTTTGACCAAGTCAAAAACCAACCTTTTAAATACATTTTCAAGTAGTACAATTTAATTTATTAGACTATTTCAATGGTTGCTTCCAACTTCTTAAATTCTTTAACGAAACAATTGTTGGTGAGGCCATCAGGAAAATGGGTACAAATATTATGCGTATATAATACACAATTGGAGGGATTAAGCATATAATATGCATACAAATTGTGTATTTTTTTATGTATGCAAATTGTACATATATTATATGCTTAATCCCTTCAATTGCATATTATATACGCATAATATTTGTACCCATTTTCCTGATGGAAGTGATTGTTGACAAAATGAATCAAACCATATTTATTTCTATGTTTATCAAATTAGTGATTTTAATTGGTCAATTAACAAATGGCATGGATTAAAATTTTGTGTTCCCAGAACAGTCTCTCCTGTTCCTTTATTCTGCTTTCTTTTTATTGTTTTCCTTACTTCTTGGTAAATTTCATAAGTAATCTTTTCTTTTCTTAGATAAGTTTCCAGTGTCTGAGTATCATTTATTTTGAAAATATAAAAAGCAAATTTTTCTCCTTGTCCTTTCTTCAAAATACTTTTTGATGGTGCTATAATTTTTGGGTTCCATAGTAGATCTGATGTAAATTAATTTTATATTAACTATTTTTATATATATCACTTAACAAATAGGACATTATAAAACTAATTGTGATGATAATAATTAAATTTTGATCCCTGAAATCTTTGTCTGGTTTTGTTGCAGTATGCCCCATATAATCCATTTTAGAAATAACAGCTGTTTTCTTCCTGTCTTCTTCAGCTACTTCTATTTGCCAATAACCACTAGCTAAATCTAGTGATGTAAACCACCTAGCTCTTTCTAATGAGTCAAAGATATCAGAAATTAAAGATAGGGATATTTGACTTGTTCAGTGTAATGATTACTTCCTGTAATCCACATATGCTATTCTTCTTCTTTACTACCACAATGGGTGAAGCCCAACTACATGCTGGTTCTTTAATTATTCCTGCATCCAATTTCTTCTTGAATAAAATTATTATAGTGGGTCTGTGGAAAATGGTAATTTGTTTGCATATAGTGAGTGGATTTTTTCTTTAGTATGTCCTGTACCAAAAAAAAAGGAACTCTACCTCTACCTCCCCCATATAATAATTAAAAAAAATTTCATGACTTGTAATAAATTGTATACTAAATTTTTAAATAGTAAATCCTCTAATTCTTATCCAATATATAATATAATGGATGAATAAATTATCATTTACCTTGTATTATTTTGTTAAGAATCTTTAAAGGCAAGCATTATCATTTCATAACAACATCTTCTCTAATTAATAAACCAATATCCAGCATCCCAATATCCCAATACTGAATATGTCCATCAAACTATTTTGCTTTATACACAATATCAAATCCCCACCTGCAAGATATTTAAGGTCTGTAAGTCTATAATAAGGTATCCATTCAAATGGTTTGTTCAAAGACGGTTTGCAATTCTTGTATTAATTGATATTGCTTACTCTGGGATTTTTAATTCTTTTCCCTCCATTTGTCAAAATCTTGCTGAAAATTTTTTGAAACTAACAGGTGCTTATGTAAGGTTTTATTCAACAAATTCTGCTTAAAATAATACAAATTATGTAGATCACATATACCACATGTGAAAAACAGCATAGTGGACTTTCGATTTTAACACTAAATGTGACATAAAGTGATGATCATATTTATATTCTACAACTAACAAAATTAATTGAAAAAGTACTTTAAAATACTCATTAATGTGACATAAAAATTCCAAAAGGAGTTATGTGAAAGAGCATCCCAGAAAAAAATGAATGAATCAAGTGATGAATCTCTTAATGCAGATATTAATGATGAAATAAATGATGAAATAAATGAATTGAAAATTAAACAAAATAATATTGAACACAACACAAAACAAAT